TGTCAATATAATCATAGAGTGTGATTTATTTTCAACTCAAAATATCTTGAAACTAACGAAATATAAAGTTATCGGTGAATAAAATTCATCTGGATAACAGCAGACTGACTGCTCGTAAAATAAACGACAGGTCTGGACCACTCGTGAATTTTGTTCGTATCTGAAAAAAATCTTAGAATACGAAAACATTGGTGAATGCCACAAAGTCTCTTAAATCACTCGTACGCACAACTTAAGAAGAAATCTGTGCGAACGAACGGTTCTTGCATGAGACCCAATGTATTTTATTTTAACACACTTAACTTGTCTTTTAAGATCTCTGAGTCCCAATAAAGTCCTGGAAGCTTGCTGACCTGCTAATTGACTAAACTTTGCTGTTGGAATCATATTGTTTGTCCCTTAAAATGCATATTGATATTTCAATAAATGTTTGTGCTTTTGTTTTAAAATGGGCCTAATTTGAAGTATTGTTTATGATTTGTGTACCTGCGACATTCGGCTTGACTACATAGCAGTAAAACTGTTTTAAAACACGATTCATTTAAAACACCAAGCATCAAACAAACACTCAGCTCTGTTCAGTTTTCGTTTCTCCTTCTACCTGCGATACCTGTCATCTCTAATGTTTCAGTCTCTCCTTTTGGTCTTCTCGCCCACAGTCGGACATCTATTTTGTCTCGTCGGCGCCGGTGAGCTCAGCCTCCAACTGCAGTTCAAGAGACACCAGCTCCCAGAGCTCCCCGCAGACACCCACAGGCTATGAGATGCCCGTGTTTCCTTCACCGCTTGGAGATGGTGAGCCCTGTACAGCTGAGGCACCAGGGGGGTGGGGGCTTGATATAAAAGGTTTTTATGTATGAATACAACCTGCAGACCTGTTTGACTCTAGCTCCTCTTATTTTGGAGCTTGACAGTCATTTGAAACAGCCTGTCTCCTCTAGTGTTAGTAGTGTAATTATGGGTAGTTTTCCACAGCAGTGCCATTATCAGGACTATTATCTCACTTTTCTCACACCGCAGCACAGACAAGATGTTTGTTAGAGAGCTCCTACTGATCATTATTCATTGAGTTGCTCAGTAAACAGGTTCTAGTAGTTTTAAATGTGTTTTTTTGTAATTTTTTTGGCTGCAGCTTTTTACCAAAATCTTTGGGGATATGACTCGACAATATCAATACTACAAATAAACACAGAAAATCTAAAAATGCAGCACCATCCTGTTGAGTGGTGAGAAGGTTGGAGTATATTTAAAAATGAGCTTTAGGACTCGAGTCTTGTAAAACATTTAGTAACTGCTAAATGCTATTTAAAAAAACTGCAAGGGATATTTTAGATTTTGCTTAAAAAATTTTCAAAAGGCACATATGATTGGCGTGAAATATTCCTTCCGAGTTTTCTTTTAGTGAAGAACGATCAACTGTCTTGCATTAAATAATTGGATTTTTATTCATTTCTATATTTAACGTTAGCAAAAATAAATAAATAAATAAATAAATAAATAAATAAATAAATAAATAAATAAATAAA